GCCAAAATAAACCATTAGCTTGTAATCTTCCGGCCAAAGGCACTGCGCAGGCACAGCACCCATATGTGTGATGCACAGAGGCCACGACGAAGAATTACAAAAAATTGCAGTTGAAATAGCACAAGCCCTAGTGTAGTATAGGCAAGTGCCGGATCTTAAAGAACTAAGAAGAAACATTGCTATGGTTCTATGTACCCTTTCAACTACATACACTTTTTAAAAAACCCATAGATTTTAAAAATTCAATTATCTTCATGTACAATATCAAGAATTCACTCCTAATTCCTATTAATTAGTAAACCAACCTCACAAAACGGGGAGCAAGACTATATTGAAGCCTATGATGCAGTGAAATTAGATCCAAATTGTAACAACCAAGCAATACAGTTAATGGTACTCACAACAGCTTAAACAGCTTTTTCATTTACTGGGCAATAAATGTCACCAAATAAACATTCCTGATAAAAATTAGCATATATTTAGACAATTGCATTTTTCTTACAATATTATCACATGATGGCATGGATTAATATTTCTCAATCTCCAAATAAAAATGTTGAATACAAACCAATCCTTTATATAACTAGCCTGGGTGAGATTTTAAAAGAAAATGTTTGCACATTATAGCAAACCATCAATCCATGATCTTAACTTGGTGTATGAATCCTGGCTTGTTTGAACATAACCAATACTAGTGGTTCAGAAACATAAGATGCTAAGTTTCATTGCAGCTTCCTGATTTGTTTACCTGTTAACACAGAGGGGGAATCTTTCAGGCTAGGTGTATGAAAAAACCGCTTGTGTACATCATTTTTCACTAAAGTAAGATTTACAGCTTACCAAGACATGTGAACATGGACACTAAGTCACTCGAATTTCAGAACAAATACCCACACAGCTACACAAGGCTCTCTGGGGAAAAAGAAGTCTGCTATAGCTATACTATATGCATTGACTATTTTGCATATTCAAGCCAGAAGTCATACTGGAAATACAAAGAAAAAAGGTCCTACAACTTCCAAAATTTCTCAGCTAAGGAATACTGGGATTGCAGACGTTTCCTGTATAGACATACGTCTTACTTTGGACTTATGATTAGTCTTTTCATCACATTCAATCAAATTTAGAATGATTTAACATCCTCTCATTCTTATCCAGCTCTTTCAAAGATGGCAGCACTGACTCTACAGCTGATTAAAAAAAAAAAAAAAAACCTGACCAATGCGTGATTAATCCTGGCTACATGTAAAGAAATGCCTCAATAAAAAGCAATTAAATGCAGCCTGTGTATCAAACCAGAACTAACCACTATAAAAAAAGTTGTTCTATAAAATAACATGATTTTATGTTCTAACTATCTACTCGTACCATCATTTTATGTAATAAAATTAATAGAAGAAGCAGAAAGGTATAAACTATACTTGATAGTTTTGGTGAAAGGCTAGAACTTTACACATGCATATTGCTAATACGAATCTAAATACTTCTGACCAAATCAATGTAACTTCAGACAGTAACACCTTTACTATCACCCTAAAATCCCAGGAAGACAAGAACACAAATAACTCATCCACAGCACAGTAGTTACATGAAAAGATGCCCATTACAACATACTCAGTTCCATGTAAGAGCAGCATAACTATCAAGTTTTGATTCAAATTAAAGTTTTGGTTCAGTAGCAATATAGCTCATTTAGTTGGGCAAAACCAAGAGTACAAGATCATCTATATTAGCAGTTAGTCCATGATCCTGGTAAAATATAGAACATAATTATTCAGACTCTAGAACTGCTAACAACTTGCCAATCTTTGAGCCATAGCGTCAAGCTATAATATAAGCACATCAACTACTGTACTTTAACTGTATGATTAGTTACATGCATATTAAAGTTTTCTTGCATGAAAGTATTTTAACTTTCTAATATGCAGGTACAACAAAGAGTGTAGTTAGACACTGCAAAACCTTATTTTCAAATACAAAGAAAACATAGTTTGCTAGAATTTTAGAAATCAGAGGCAAAAGTTTTAGATCTGGTTATCAGATGACACTTTCCACAATCAAGGGTCCATGTGTGCTGTATATACTTTCAAAGAAATTGGGCATTCACCAATCCAAGATAAAAAGCCCACTTCAATGACAAAGACTTGATCAGAAACCTGCTATTGTCTTCTCTCTTTTTTCCCAGCTACAGCAGCACATTATTTTGACCTAGGCTGAAAGATGCTTTTCAGAGATCCTTAAGTACATACAGTGGTACCTCGGTTAACGAACGCCTCAGTTCATGACCAAACTGGGTCATGAACATAAATTTTGGCAAAATTTTGCCTCCATTCACGAACACTGCATCAGGTGACGACCACAATCGCGGCCATCTTCCCCGCACGAACACTCCAAACAGTAACCTTCTTCCCACCCACCATGAGGGCATGCTCACCTCGGTTGAGGCCTTCCCAGCTCCTTGTCATCGCATCGCTTCCAAGCCAGAGGAAGGTCCCCTCACAGGCACTCACCTGGCTCTGGAAGGAGGAGCAGGAGTGGGAGGCCAAAGAGGTGAGCACGGGGCGGCTCCCCCAGCTGGAAGAGGGCCACGAGGAGGGAGGTAAGGGCTGCTTTCTATGGGCTGAGGTGAGGGGAGGAAAGGGATGGGGCCGCGGCGGGCCGAACGAGGCTCCTCCTGCCTCTCCCCGCCACAGGGGGAAGAAGCATGGCAGCTGCTCGGCGGCGGTGGCTTGTCTTAAGAAGGATGCAGTGGAGCCGTGGCACTGCTCCTGCTCCGTCTCAGCCCATCCACCCCCAGGCTCAGCAAGGCGGCCACGGCTTGGCCCGCAACCCAGGGACGTGGCTCATATTTTTGTGGTTTAAAAAATATGTATTTATTTATTTATATTGTTATTTATGTATAACATAAAGTTATGGTTCAGAACGGATTAACCTTACTGACCAATTGAACCTAATGGGGAAATTTGACTTGGTTTCTGACCAAAACTGGTTCGCAGCCATGTTTGTAGGGGTCAGAACAGATTAACCTTATTTACATTGAACCTTATGGGGAAATTTGACTTGGTTCATGACCAATTCAGGTCATGACCAGAACCGTGGAACGAATTAAGTTCGTGAACTGAGGTATCACTGAAATTGTTTCAATAGCACTGTAGCACTCATTGTACCCTAAAGATGAACATTATTGTAGTCAAGAACCAAGGAAGGAGAGCAAGGCCACCAAGATTTTAAAAAGACTTACCTAGGGATCCACATTTAAGAATTTATATCTAACAACTCTGTTAAGAGTTTTGAAATCTTAATGATAGCTAATCTCAAGGGAAGATACTGAATATAAAAGAATATTTAAAAAGCTGTACTAATAATGCTTTAGACATTATTTAGTACTTCCGGACCCACAGTTTCACACACAGTGGACCTGTATAGGAGCACTGGCTGTAATTCTTCTACTTTAGATAAATCAGTTACATCTAAGGTTAGTTTTATAGAGCTGAAGTCAAACTAAGAATCATCTATGGGGTGGAAAGTTTTTTTTATGGATAGGAGCAAATATTCTAAATTCTATTTTCAGAAAACAATTTGCAAGTAAAGGAGTAAGATTGTATAAAAAGATTATAAATCACTAATATTGAAACAATTTATGTGTTTCTTTTTCTTAGCTATTTGTGCACTATGTGTTAATTGCTTATCATTAGGCTGGCATGTGAAATGTATTGCTGGAGAGAATGGGTGGGAGACTAGGGCTTGTTATTGCTACATTTAATACATAAACTTTACATTATTTTATCATTTTTCATTTATAGGCCACCCCCTAGCCAGAAAGGCTTTCTGGGAGGTTTAGAAAGTTCAAACATAAAAGCTAAAATACGAATAACAATATCACAATAAAAACAGTAACAACAACCAATAAGCAAGATTTAAAAAAACAAGGTAACTAGTCAAATAGGTACACAGGCACAGCAGTACCATCTAATACAACCCTATTAAAACTACAACCTTAACTATTATAAAATGCCTGGAAAGTAAAAAGGCTTTCAACTCGTGCTGAAAGAAAAGCAGGTGCCAGGCAAATCATTCTGGGGAGCTTATTCCAAAGCTTATTGCCACAACTGAAAAGACCTGTCACCTAGTTGTCACACCCTTACTTCTTGGGCAGGGGTGCTTAAGAAGGACATCAAAGGATGTTCTTAAGGCCCAGGTAGGTACATATGGGAAAAGGTATTTCTTCAGAAAAACTGCCCCCAAGCCATTTGGGGCTGTAAATGTTAGTACAAGCACTTTGAATTGGGCCTGAACTCCAACTGGCAGCCAGTGCAGCTGAAAGAGGACTGGTATGATGTGATCTCATGGGCCAGTCCCTGTCAACAACTGTGATGCCCTGTTTGGAATCAGTTGAAGTTTCTACATGGTAACTTAAAACCAGGAAGGTAAATGTTCAATGGAACAATCATATCCATCATCTAATTTCCACTTTGCAATGTGGGTATTAATTCAAAGGCACTATGATACTTGCTGCACAGAAATAGGGCTGTGGTGAACTGTATACATGTACTGAAAAATCAATGCACTACTACTTGCTAGAGTCAATATAATGCTGAAATAATGTCATGTGGGGAAAGCAAGCTATTGTTAGTGGGCTAGAAAACCATTCCAATGCATTTTTTCCCAGATATTAGGGTAAGCTCCACCTAATGGATATTACTAGCCAATTATGCAAAATAGGCTGTAATTTCAAAATGGAGAAACTCATGAAAGGGAACACACCATACAGGGACTCTTTACCTTTTGTACCCTAAAAACCTTGTACTTTACCCATATACTCCCCAATAGAATTCAAGACTTGCTACTGCCCTGCTACAGAGCAATCTGCATAACAGACTGCCCTCCCAATAATACTGTGTTCCTTCAATCCCTCATTTACCAATTGCATAAGCACTGAACCCAAAGTTTAAACAGACTGACATTAAAAAAAGATTACTCAACAAGATGGACACACTTACCTCACAACATCATCAATATTGTTTCTGTACACGCCTTCTAGTCTCTCTGCTGGAAAACCCATTGCAATTATATTTGGATAAATATCTGAATGTTCCAGTTAAGGAAAATATTTAGAAAATATCACTGTAAAATGCAGAAAAGTGTAAAATATTTCAAGTATCAGTTATACAACCTGAATTTAAAAAGAAACAATTACATGGCCACTTTTACAGATACAGGAAGTTCTAACATGTAAATGATTGAAGATAACTGTTAAGCTGTAGTTTCCTAAACATGGCTATCATTCAATTATACTGCCCAGACTGGAAAGGTAACGGGGCATTAGGATCCTTCATCTTTTGTCTGAACTGTGGATGTTCCATGCCTGCCTACACAGGCTCTCTGTTGCTCTACCCGTTGGGATGGGCAAGATCAGGGAGGAGGGAGCTGTGATGTGTTCCATGCTGATAAGAGGAATCTTTCCTCATCACAGAGCCCTTAAACAGTGTGATCTGGATATGGAGAAAGACTGTTTTTCCCCTACAACTGGATCACTTGGCTTTTGCCCTGCATGGAAAGGAGGGGAGTACCCATCCCATCTCCTAACCAGATGCCAAACGTGGTGAGAGAAGGGAGGGGAGGAGAATGGAGAAAATATGGTTTGCACATGAGTGTGACATGCATCTCCCTTCCCAAACAGAGGTCAATTTGGTCCTCAGACTGAGAAAAAATCCCCACCCCTATGTTTACTGAATGAAGAAAGATCACAAGTACACATTAGGAAATACTGGAGTTTTGAAGGCAAGTACTTTGCCTTTTGAAAATATAGTCAAAGTATTTTAAAATTCAGATGCTCTCTCTCACCAAAGCACAGCAAAGCTCTAAAACTGTTCACTCAAGAAGTAACAGATAGCAAATGAGGATATGTGTTTATACTGCCAGGGTAGTAAAACACACCACACAAAACTCCCAACTCTATGACTAGATATTGGTTTTTGCCATCTAATTTTAAACACCTGAGACTTCACTGGTAACATTTTTCAGAGAATCAGTCAAACTGTGCCACCCCTTCAAATAATTACTTTAACCTTTCTTGCAGAGACAGGTATAGGGTTAAAATCCTTTCTTTAGTATATAGTCATCCCAAAGAGTAACTTTAACACAGAGGAAATCTTGTTTCGATTTTATACAAAGAAGACCTATTGTTTTAAAGTCCTAGTAGAATTGCTATAGCTGCCATAATATAGTTCACAGAGCTCAAATACACAGTCTAATCTTAAGTTTGTGAGTCAAGAACCAGGTTCATAATCACAAGATAGCCCCTTTCATTATTACTGTCAACATGGATCCAGTAACTTAGAGTTGGCCACTGAGACTCAGCCCTTCCTTTTGTTAGAACTACTTGAAGTGGCACCAAAAATCCTTGCTCTAATCTTGTCAATATATTTATATGACCCACCTAGAAAGGCTTTTGGAACCCAGATGTGCAACATCTCCTCTTGGTGTAATATTGTACACTATCACTCAAAAATTATGAGAAACCAATGAGCAGTTACAGTATATTACCAACAGAGCATTCCTGTGGTAAATACAGCATAAACACTTCTGTGGACGGCAATGCAAAAGTATTTTCCAATAGTGACTGCAAGTACTGGATGGATTCCAAAAGAAAGATGACAACACAGCTTCCCTTAAAAGATGGATATGTACTAGTGAATAGGCATACAGATGGATGAATAAGTGCCCTAGGAACTGGTTACCTGAAAGACTGTTCATAACCATGTACACATATTCAAATTATGGAACTGTTTTCCAGGAGCCCATACCACCTGAGATAGGGTCAGTGGTTACTGTGGGCAGGGCCTTTTTTGGTGATTGCATCCCAGCTGTGCAGTGCTGGAATGATTTTCTTCAGAAAGACTTAACATGTACTCTTCAGTATTTTTCAGTGCTAAGTGAAGACCTTTATATCTGCCCATGGCTTTAACAAGTTTAAATCTAAAATCTGTTTTTCTTGGCATTATGAAACTAAATTTACACTCAGATTATATATAATTGTACAAATAGGCATAAATTAATTGCATAGTTCATAAATAATGTTTTATATTACTACAAACTATACAGAGAAATTCATTAATGGGAGATATATAAATACTGCTCAATAATAAGTAGTAGTAGTTAAAAGCTTTTAGAATCATAGAATAATAGACTTGGAAGGAGCCAATAAGGACATCAGGTCCAACTCCCTAGCCATACAATTTATTATTTGCCACTATCCTAAGTAGATAGCAGCTTGCATTGTATCATTACACACCATCTATCCAACAGTGCTGTTTCAGGAGCCACAAACTAAAGATGATTGCATTTCCTAATTTCACTATCTTCTGGTCTTAGAGGGACCATGGGATCTCATTGGGGAATTGTTCAGCCCAGTTCCCCCTTGCTGAGGTCTCCTTTCCCTGAATGTGTAGTCTTTATAAGAAAATTGCAATGGCCCTGGAAAGGACGTGCTGCTATCACATCTAGTTGCACCATGAAAACCTAATTTTTACTAATATGAAAGAACATTACTTAATCAGCCACACAATAGTTGAACATAGAAGCAGGACAAGAAAGCTATCATGAGAATGTTTTCCATCTATTACTACATTTATGTAATGCATTGCAAAAAGCAATTTAATCAGATTTGGCAATACATACACTCATTTATAAACTAGTGTTCTCATTAGATTGTGCTTTTTCTACCAGAAAGTTATATTTGCAATAAACAAAGGTGCATATGATAAACAACTGCCAAATAGTCAATCCATTATTATTTATATGACATGCAAATGTCATTTTATTTATTTATTTACTACTAAATAAATAAATGCTATTTATAAATCAACTACCATCAATTTTAAAGGAAATAATTACTTTTTTTTTGCACTGCTAGAAAAGATAAGATTAACCTGAAATCACTGTATGCCCAAGTGAATGCCTTAATATTGTTTCAGGCATACTGTATCAGGACAGCTACAATGCAAAGATGTTAAAAGCTCTCTTTTGGGGAGTGGAAACAAACTGTACTTGCCTCTTAACTTCCTTTATAAAACTTTGGTTAATGGCAGTGGGTTCAGTTATGCTATTCAACTACCTCATATTTAGCTTCATCCTTTGATAAGATTTTAAAGCAAAGATGGTACAGGACTGCAATGAACAGATCAGTAGGAGGGGAATATTACATCAGAAAATGTAGACTCATCTTTCAGGAACAACAAGTTCTGACTGACCAGTTTAAATATGCAACTATTAATCTCCAGGAAGAAGTCATGTGTGCACACCCATAGTCACATGTCCTATTTTCCCCCCAGCACTTCTCAACCCTGCAATGAACTTTTTGGAAGTGGCCTTAGCCAGTATGCACTTTTTGCTACCAAGTATGTCTGGCATTTTAGAAGAGTGCATAGTGCATATCTCTGCCTTCAACAGAAAAATAGTTATATTCTGGCTGGAAAAGTTCCAAATGGGAGCTACCAGAGTCTGCAGAAATACAATTTTACACTGTAAACCTATGTATGCTTACTTGTGAATAAGTAAATTCAATGGGAATTATTACAGATAAAATATAGAAACACAGAAACAGAACAGGTCAGAAGGGGTCTCTGGAGCCATCTACCGTATTTTTCGCTCTATAAGACACACCTGACCATAAGACGCACCTAGTTTTTAGAGAAGGAAAACAAGAAAAAAATATTCTCAATCAAATGGTTTACTAAGCTATTTAATAAACTATAGCAAAATACAGTAATACCGTATTTCAACCTTGTAAAGTGAACAGCAGTCAACAGTGGCATTAAGAACCATCATCACTGTCATTAACAAAAGAGAGACTTTAAAGTTCGAGTACTCTTCTAGTTTTCGTTGAACCCACAGAACTCATCATCACTAGTCAGAATTTATGAAGCTCTGTTGCTCACAATCACTGACATCACTTTCTTAGTCAGTAGTGCAATTACTGAAGGAATCCACAATCTACACCAGTTATACAAGAGCTGCTACAGACAATTCAATAACAAATCTAAAAAAGCCAGTAATGTCCACGCTGCCCTACTAGTAAATAGAAAAAAACTTCTGACAAAAAATGAGATATTGTATGGTAAATCAAACACACAGCGGACTAAGAAGCCTTTGAAGAATAAACTTCATATACAAAGGTAATGCTGTTCAAATATCCACTGATCCTAAAAAAAAATGTGTCTGATCAACTAACAGATAACTGATCCATGGAAAGCTACCTGATAATCACAGGCACATTCCCCATCACTTCCCCATGGGCTTCATTAAAAGACGGGTTGCCATTTGAAAACACACACCGACCTGTGATTAACAGCTCTCACCTGCACCAGAGGAGGGGGACGGAGCAGGGCGCACCAAGCGCGTGCCAGCCAGGTGGTGCCACGTGGTGCAGGCGGGCTGGCAGCGTCCCGGGCGTCGGGCACACACACATTCACTCTATAAGACACAGACATTTCCCCTTACTTTTGAAGGGGAAAAAGTGCGTCTTACAGAGCGAAAAATACGGTAGTCTGACGCCCAGTCCAGCTCCAGCCAGCTCCACTCATGACATATAACATGATATATTATCAGTATGCTAGAGTCAGCAATGGATTACTCATTTAGGAAAAGTATGGAAGTATGACTCTTACAGCAGACCCAGGAACATCTTTACCTTTGCACCTCAAAATATAATAGAGTAAGTCTTTTAAGAACATCTGTCCTAACAACAAACAGCTGTTTCTCTATGTATCCATTAATTTAATGAAGAAACTATGCCTCCTTACTATCTTCTTATTTCATAAAATGGCTTACTTCATCTACCTTTGTCACCAAATTTTAGCTATAAGCAATATTTATATGCAATCTTTTATAGATGCACCAGATGACCAAGTTTCTTTTTTGAGGTTTCCTCTCTAGTAGAAAGTTTACAATCAGAAGAACAATTTATTCCAGAACATTGAATTTCTGGATAGCAATACAGCTGTGTCTAGAAATAAATCGATGTAAAAATCATATTTGAAATAGTCAGGCCAAACAAGGCTAGCATAAAGCAAGGATGGCTAACT